TGAACGGTTGCCAACCGTTTCGGTTGACACCTCGGCAATGATTGAATTTAAAAATTTGACTCTAGCAGACGACACTTACGCCGTTCCTGGAAACATAGACATGCTCATTGGGGCATCGCTTTTCCCTCATCTTTTGTTAAACAATAAGGTCAGGGGCAACTCCTCGCATACCGCGCCTTACGCACTGGAAACCGTATTGGGCTATGTGATCCTTGGCTCCGCCCCCATCCTAGATAGTATTTCGGCAGCCTCTTATTGTGGTATGGCTGTCGAACCGCTCGAGTCGTTAGTCCGCAAATTTTGGGAGATGGAGGAGGTGAACGTCCCACCCATAGCTAGTCCAGATGACAGGATATGCGAGGAAATTTACGTCCGCACGACCGTTCGTGATCGCGACGGTAGATATAGTGTAGCGCTACCCTTTAAGGGAGATGTTTTATCTCTCGGCGATTCGCGTCAAATGGCGGAAAAACGTTTCTACAGCTTGGAGCGTAGGATGCTCGCTTCGCCCCAGTTAAAGGAAGCTTACGACGGCGTCATTAACGAATATATAAGAGAAGGTTACATATCACTTGTGGCTTCGAAATTAGATAACTACGAAGACACACCGTCGTATTTTATACCACACCACGGAGTCATTAGAGAGGACAAACTTACATCTAAATTACGTGTAGTGCTCGACGCTAGTGCTAAAACTAGCACTCACCTGTCGCTTAACGATATCCTCTATAGTGGGCAAAATTTACAGGGCAGCTTATTTGATATAATAGTCAATTTTCGTTTGTTTAGTATAGCACTATCCGCCGATATTCGCCAAATGTTTCTTTGCATAGGGGTCCGTGAATGCGACCGTAGATTCCAGCGCATTTTATATCGTTTCCACCCAAAGGAACCTCTAATGGTGTTAGAATTTAACCGCGTTTGTTTTGGTTTAAAGTCGAGCCCATTTCATGCGTTACGCACGGTGAGACAGCTCGCTCACGATGAAGGTCCCTCTTATCCTAAAGCTAAGAGGGCAATTGAGAGCGGATTATATATGGATGATTTTGTGTATTCGGTCGATAGCGTGGAGGAGGCCACCCTAACCACCGCCGAGGTTATAAGGCTCATGAAATCGGGTCAATTCGATCTTGTGAAGTGGACTAGTAATTCGCGTCCGGTTTTAGATACAATCCCACTATCACACCGTCTTTCGGCGATAAAGGAATTCGACGATTCCGATACACACAAGGTGCTCGGTCTGTGTTGGTCACCAGAGTCCGACGTGTTTAGCCTTAAGGTAAATCCGCCCGTAGAGAAATGCACAAAGCGCACAATACTGTCATGCGTTGCTAGATTATGGGACGTCATGGGTTTCGTAGCTCCGGTGGTATTATACGCTAAGCTTTTGATTAAACAACTTTGGTTATTTGAATGCGATTGGGATGACTCGCCGCCTGACAGCATTGTTCGATTGTGGCAGCGCTTTAGAGAGGAACTTCCTTTACTAAGAGAAATTAAAATACCGCGTCATATAAATGTCGATAGAAATAGCAGCATAACGGTTGTTGGATTTGCAGACGCCAGCGAGAAGGCTTACGGGGGCGTTGTATATTTCCATGTCCAGAATAATGGTAGAAATTCGATTAGCCTCATTAGTTCTAAGTCGAGAGTCTCCCCCCGTAAGGTTGTCTCTCTGGCGCGCTTAGAGCTTTGCGCAATATTAGTACTCACCAAGCTTATTACCACAGTTATCGGCGCATGTAGGGATAGAGTTCACATAGAAAGAATATTTGCCTTTTCCGACTCCACCGTCGCCTTATGTTGGGTTCATTCTTCACCCCACCGTTGGGATACGTTTGTCGCGAACCGAGTGGCCAAGATCCAAGACGAGTTAGAAACGCGGAACTTTCATCACGTGTCCGGTAAGGAAAACCCTGCCGATTGTCTATCCCGGGGACTCACCCCGATGCAAATAATGGACCACCCGCTTTGGTTCCATGGACCTTCTTGGGTTCACTTGGATCCCTCACAATGGCCAATAACCGATTTCGAACCTTCGTCAGTGTCACAACCGCCGGAAGAGAAGAGACACGCTCTAGTGGCGAACGTTTCGAGCGAGGTTTCTCCAATCATTGCTCTGGCGAACCGCTTGTCCTCTTGGTCGAAATTATTGCGTAGCGTAATTTACGTTTGTCGATTCGCGAAGCTTTTACCGCGACGTTCGTATGTCTTAGCATCCGATTACAACTATGCCGAGTCGCTAGTATTACGTGAACTTCAACGTGCACACTTCTCTGAAGAAATTACAAGATTACAATCGAATAGAGCTTGTAGTCGCGCCTTTCAACGCCTTAAGCCATTTTTACAGGATGGGATTGTAAGGGTAGGTGGACGCTTGTCCAACTCGCAGTTGAGTTTCGACCAACGGCACCCTATAGTTTTACCGCGTAAAGACCATATCATGAACTTATTAGTCGATTATCATCATAAATTGAACTCGCACGCTGGCCCCGATTTATTGATGTCGATCTTGCGTCAGAATTATTGGATTCTTTCTGCACGTAGTTTAATACGCAATCGGGTGCACAGATGTATAGCTTGCTTTCGGGCACGCCCCAAGCCGTCATTTCCGGAAATGGCGGAACTTAGATCTTGTAGAGTGATACAATCGGTAAAGCCCTTCACGCACACCGGGTCTGATTTTGCTGGTCCGTTTAAGGTCACGCTCACTCGCGGGCGTGGTATAAGATCCACAAAGGCTTACGTCTGCATTTTCGTATGTCTAACTACTCGAGCAGTGCATATAGAACTCGTTGGTGATCTAAGCACAGCAGGCTTTATGGGTGCATTTAAAAGATTTCTATCGCGCAGAGGCCCTGTAAGTAGATTATATTCGGATAACGGTACGAACTACGTCGGTGCAAAACGTATTCTATCGGAACTACATGAGCTCTTAGCTAGCAAGTATTATAATTCGGAGTTCGCTCACATTCTAGCCGAGAACCGCATTGAATGGTCTCTGAACGTCCCAGCCGCGAGTCATTTTGGGGGCAATTGGGAGACTAATATTAAAAGTCTAAAGAGCCACTTATACCGAGTAATAGGAGATCAAATTTTGTCCTTCGAAGAGCTAAGTACGGTGCTCGCTCAAATTGAATGCGTAATGAATAGCCGCCCACTTTGTCGGACGTTATCTAGTGACCCCTCGGAACCGCTGGCTCTAACTCCAGCACATTTTTTGACTTTAACGCCTCTAAGGTATCTGCCCGCCGCGGATATGGATGAGAACAGACTTAACATTTCCACACGCCACAAATTATTAGATCGGTTAGTGCAATCGTTTTGGAAACGATGGAGGATGGAATACTTGCATACTTTGCAGTCTCGGCAAAAATGGAACACAGCGACAGAGCCTTTAGCTGTAGGAACCGTAGTTGTGCTCACTAAGGAGAATACGCCGCCTCTCCACTGGCCGTTAGGAATCGTCGAGGAGGTCTTTCCCGGTTCCGACGGAGTAATTAGGATAGCTCGCGTTAAGACCACGGTTGGGTCTTACCTACGTCCTGTTGTCCGTTTGTGCCCCTTGCCTCTTCCATAATTTAAATTAGCTTTTTGACTGAAATTGTAGTTTAATTTAGGTAATCTTAGCGTTAGTTAGTTATTTGTTAGTCGATCTTAGCTCTAGTTGTTTAGTTATTTTTTTTTGAAGGAAATCCTTCAAGGGCGGGGGGAGATGGTTGCGCGGAAAACCATTCGCGTTTTTTATTTTTGACGGTAGGAATTTGTCGAATCATTATTCCCTTCCGAAACAATATCATTCGTACCCTCCTATCGACACATCGGGGTGGTGGGGTGGGAGGGGAAAGAAGACGATTCTAGAACATCGCGTAATCATCGGACCCGAGGATATATAAGACACGCGCGACCGACGCGCGCTCTCTTCTCCCGCCGCAGTCGTCGTTGAACTACAACCTCCTCTTCCCGCGCGCTCGTTTGGAAACACCTCACTAGTGGAAACCGCTTTGGCCTGGAAGCAGTCGAGCTCCAGGAACCCGCCTCACCTCGTGTGAGATATCGTCGCGCACCGCCTCTCTCCGGAGTGTTCCGGAAGTCGCCGCTATAGTGATCGACAGGAAGAAGAAACCCCGGTGAGTCAATACTCCTTAATTATACCTGCTTGCTAATAATTTAACCCGCTCCAATTTGTGTTTTTTTCCTAGTCAAGCAGGATTCCTTTCATCGATTCGACAAGTAATAGTTTAGTTTAGGGAAGAGCGAGTGCATTGTACCGCATGCTATAGTAGTCGCTTCACATAAGCATAGAAGCAATCGCATATACAGTCCACTTTAGTTAATATCTCGCGTAATAGGTTTGAGGTTTGACCGGGGAACTAGATTTTCGGCAGCCTTAAACACGTGGCTCCACCACTTTACATTATTCAAGTTTCTCCCAGCATACGGTCGCATCATATGTTCCGATAGTGAAAACGCCTCATCACCCACTAAAATGAACGGCATTGGTTGGCCATTTTCTTTGATGGGGTTATTGCTCGGAATATCGAGATCATTATTTAAAAACCTATGATAAAATACAGAGTCTTTGTAAATTGACGAATCACTGCATTTGCCGTATGCTCCAATGTCTGCGTAAAGAAATTTATAATTTGCATCACATATTGCAAGTAACACGGTTGAAAAATAATTCTTGTAATTGTAATAAAGAGATCCCGAATGTTGTGGTTTGATAACTCTAATGTGCTTGCCGTCGATGACTCCGATGCAATTAGGAAATTGGGCGTATTTTTTAAAACCTTCATCCGTTTGAATCCACTTATCTCTGGTCAATTGTGGCATCACAATTGGTTTTAATATCTCCCATATTGCTTCACAAACATCAAATACTATTTCCGATGCTGTAGGAAGCCCTATACGGTATTCATGACTTATATGAGATAAAGAACATCCAGTAGCCAAATAAGCCAAATTCACATTAATAAACATAATATTAGTTTTGTAATATGTACTACATTTATTTATTGATTTACTGGCATGACTCTCCAAAAAAAGGAGAGCTGCGCCGTCTTAAAGATGTCAAAAGTGGTTCTGCTGCAAAACGTAAAAGTCAATACACCTATTTCAACCAATTACTGTTTTTGAGATCAGTGCTGGACACAAACGCAACAGAAAATAGTCTTGAAGAGGCAAGTCAAGAAAATGAAAGTGCAAGATCTTCTGATCTTGAGACTCAACAGTCTGCATCAAAGTCGCTTAGAACAAAAAGGAAGAAAAAAATACCAAACGAAGAATCCGATACAGACCCTTTAATTTCAGTTCTGCATAAGACCATAGCGACAATAGAGAAGACAGATACACAGAATGATTCAAATTGTGACAGACTGTTTCTTTTATCCCTCCTCGACAGATTTCAAAATATCCCTGCTGTTGCTGCTGAAATTATAGAAAAATATCAACCGAAATGAACCAACAGCGCGCATAAACTATTCAAGAAATTTCAATACTCTACGACCAAGAATATGACCCGCATCGACCGAATTATTCAGGTTATTCTACTACCAACAGGATATCAGATGATTCAAATTACAGCGATACTCATACTCAATATTCTGATATTTCCCAAAATTCAGAAATGATAGACCTATTTCCCAATTTGAATGATTAATTGTTCACAATTGCCATTTTTTAAGTTACGAAAATACAAATAATTTGATTATCTACTTCAGTTTTTTATTATTTAAAAACATAGTTATAAGCAAGCCCTTTTCCTCTCCTTTTCAAAGTCGTAAAGTAGTATTGTTCATAAATTATTTAAATTGGCAAAACCATGGTCAATGAATTATACAGGTTGTTGTGAAAAACACAATAGTGGTGATTCAGAATCGAGTCTTGTATAATTCAAATTTACAAAAAAAATCCATTAAGCAGTTTAAGTAAAAAAAGGCCCTATCACATTATTTTTATTTTCCCTGTACACAATACTCCATTCCGAAACATCCTTTAAAATAAATGACGTATTTTTTAAACATTCTGTTTTAAAAAAAGAAAAAGCTTACCTTATTGTTATCACTAATTTTTCTTCTGCTGTAATGCATTTCCGATAGTTGTTACCAGTTCCAGTAATTTTTGATTTTATTGTATCCAGTAACAGGTTAAAAGTATTCGTTGACATTCTCATGTAATTAAAGAATCTCTTCTCATACATTTTTAAATCCAAAAAATAAGTATAATATAATCCTTTAGTCTTTCTCTCGCAAGGTAATGGATGCACCCAAAACTGTCTTTTACGTGAAATCTTCCGTTTTCGTTTTCGTAGTAAATACACAAGCACAGTTAGCGTGATAATCTTCTGCACGTCCATCTTGACACACCCTTGGAAGCCGACTGCAATTTTTCAGCCGTCTGCATGTCGCGCTTGCCTACGCATCGGCGACCATGGCCGCGGCGGCCTGGCCGCGTCTATGGTCGCCAGTGCGTAGGCAGTCTTAACAAATAGTCTTGCAAGTGTTATACCATTTTGGAATCCTTATTAAATGCGCCAACTTTTAAAGTTACTTGCCAAACTCGTGTCGTATATTTTTTTTCAGTACAGTCGTTTAAACCTGGGCAAAGAATTAATTTTAAATACATGGTTGGGAAAAAAATTACATTTCCTTCTGGACTCAAGTCCAATGTAAATGTTAAGCCGAAGCATTGTTCAGGATTACGTAATAAGCAGAAAGTTAAAAATAAGAATTGATATTTGTAGCACAGGAGTTAAAAGACCTTTACGGGATGTAGATTTTCTCGATTTTTTTGTATAAATGCCTGTAATTTTTAAAATACATAGCAAAGATTTTTTTTAATTTTTCTGTTAACTATTATGACAACCTATCACCTGACTATGTACACATACACATATAAAATTAACAATTTTATGGGTGCTTGTGGAGACCGAATCTGGGTTGCTAGCATACTGATATGTAAACTAATGATAATGATAATGATATTTTACGACAAACTACTGGCCCCTGAGCTACCAGGGCTTGTTTTGAGTCTTTGTATGGCCTACAAATAATTCCTCTATCTTAATCGTCCTGTAAACTTCCACTGCTGCACATGGAAGGATCTCTCCCGATGTAGGGAGGATTTGCCTCAGTCGTCACGCTTGGCATAGGATTGACGATCGCAGAACCAGACGTGAGCACCTCTGGCAATGTGGCCTGTCGCCGGTCTCGATATTTTATTAATAGCTATTATTTAGATTATTCTAATACTACTACCTAGACTATATTCTTAATATCTACAAAAAATACTGGTCAAAATGTATGCATGTATAACACTCTTTCTGTGTGGGATTCGAACCAGTGTTTATTAGATTAATGTAATTATAACAGGGTCGGAAGAACGTCATAATTATTATTCGAATTTAGATTCTTTACCATTCTTTTCCTCCAAAATGAATATGAGAGACTTTATCCAGAGTAATTGGCTAAAATACTTTATATCTTGAAACGTTAAATGAGTGTAATTATGTAAAATATTATAATTTCTCTATATCAGGGACGCGAGGATAAATTAGGCGTAAATTCTGCCCACTCTAAGTCGTGTAAGTTATCTTAAAATAAAGATACAATGTCGTACAATAAATAAAATGTTTGATTCATTTCTATTTCAGAACAACAACAACAACAGTGTGAGAAAAAGATTAAATCAAATTCTACTGATTGTAACATAAATGCTGTTCGTAAAGGAAACCTCGATTTAGAAAGCCCTACTATGAAATTAAAGCCTAAACTGAAAAGAGACACTCGACCAGTTATTAAAAAAGGGAAGCATCCTGCAAAAATTATGAAAAAGAAAATTTTGAAACAGAGTGTAAATATACTTACGGAAAACACATCTGTGGCATCAATAAAATACATTTTTGAATGTGAGGATTGTAGAAAAAAGTTTTTAACTAAAGATATTCTCACCGACCACATATCATACAGTCATAAGACGCAAAAGAACTCAGATGCAGTTCAGAGTAATATCTGTGAATATAAATCTATTACAAAAGGTCAATTGCAAACACATATAAAAATACATACCGGTGAAAAACCTTTTTCGTGTAATATCTGTGAATATAGATGTATAACAAAAAGTGATTTACCTAAACATATGAAAACACACACCGATGAAAAACGTTTTTCTTGTAATATCTGTGAATTTAGATGTATTAGAAAAAGTGATTTGCAAAAACATATAAAAAAACACACCGGTGAAAAACCTTTTTCGTGTAATATCTGTGAATATAGATGTATTACAAAAAGTTATTTGCAAACACATATAAAAAGACACACTGGTGAAAAACCTTTTTCGTGTAATATCTGTGAATTTAGATGTATTAGAAAAAGCAATTTTCAAGCACATATAAAAAGACACACTGGTGAAAAACCTTTTTCGTGTAATATCTGTGAATTTAGATGTATTGGAAAAAGTGATTTGCAAAGACATATAAAAAGACACACTGGTGAAAAACCTTTTTCGTGTAACATCTGTGAATATAAATCTATTGCTAAAAGTGATTTGCAAAGACATATAAAAATACACACTGGTGAAAAACCTTTTTCAGAAAAACGTTTTTCGTGTAACATCTGTGAATATAAATCTATTACTAAAAGTGATTTGCGAAGACATATAAAAATACACACTGGTGAAAAACCTTTTTCAGAAAAACGTTTTTCGTGTAACATCTGTGAATATAAATCTATTACTAAAAGTGATTTGCAAAGACATATAAAAATACACACTGGTGAAAAACCTTTTTCGTGTAATATCTGTGAATATAGATGTATAACAAAAGGTAATTTGCAGACACATATGAAAATACACACTGGTGAAAAACCTTTTTCGTGTAATATCTGTGAATTTAGATGCAATAGAAAGAGTTATTTGCAAACACATATGAAAATACACACTGGTGAAAAACCATTTTCGTGTAATATCTGTGAATATAGATGTATAACAAAAAGTAATTTGCAGACACATATCAAAATACACACTGGTGAAAAACCTTTCTCATGTGATATCTGTGACCATAGATTTATTGAAAAAAATAAGTTGCTAAGGCATATGAAAATACACACCGGGGACAAACCATTTTCGTGTAACATTGTGAATATAGATGTATAAAAAAAAAGTAACTTGCAAACACACATGAAGGTACACAACGGAGAAAAACCTTTTTAGTGTAATATCTGTGAATATAAATCTAATATAAAAAGTCATTTGCAGACACATGGGTAATTATTTCATTTGACGTAAATTGGACAGATTGGGAAAAATAAAATAAAAATGTATTTTAAACCGCAAAATTAGTTTCAATTGAAAGTTTCTAATGTGTGAATTATTAAAAAAATGAAGGCCCTCTCCTAGGGCCTCAATTAGTAGAGATATGGGCCCCTAAAATTTTAGGAGTCACGGTGATAACATTATGTGTGTACGGTAGTGACGATTGTTCACGGTAATGACACTTCGTGCACACGGTAATGACGTTTGAACACGGCAGTAATAAATGATACTTCGTACTGTTCTTTTTCCCTTGAAACATATACTAAAAATATCAAATAAAACAGATTGTTAATGAAATAAATGTTTATTAAAAATTTCTTTGGTAAAGATATAATCTCACAAAATAACTTTCTCAGTTCTGTAATAATTATAACTTAAACTAGATACATTTATTACCTTTTATCACATACGTACAAAAATGGAAAATAAAACTTAAACTTCTATTCAACTTTTATATGTTTACTGAGATCAACTATTCTTTTAGTGTAATTGGTCCTAGACCTTATTTGCACCTAGCAAATAAAAACAAATGATATATTAATAATTTTTCATAGGTTAGTTATTGAGATCAATTAACTTTTCAGAGAACAATAGTGTACTAGATTATAATTTATAATATAATAGCTTGATTAAAAATGAAAACTAAAAAATATATGTGAAATTATCAAAAACTTTAAGTAGACATTATTGTAACTACAAACTCGAAATGTCAAAAAAAATAATCTAGTTTAGCAAACATTTACGTATTTTAATATTTTTACTCAGGTAGTAAATTTTCGATATCATCAAATATAAGCTGGCCTCTGCGATTTATATTGGGTTCTTGTAATACTTTAACAATAACATTTTTAGTGACACAGTCTTCATCATCTTTGTTCGGCCAAGAAAAAACATTTACGGTGTTTTTTATCCTTCTGAGATATTTTACTGTAAAAGTGTTGTCATCATGATTAATATTTATCACTTGTCCAATAAAATACTTTATGGCAGTATTCTTCTTTAACTGACATTGGTACGACGTAACAACCCACGAGCCTATTTGTATATTCTCATATGGATCCTTTAGTTTTGCCTTTTCTAATCCTGTTATATTGGAAGATGCTTCGTCAAATTCACTACCTAACGGGTCAACGCATGACACATTCATTGGATCGGAGATAGCTTCATTATCTGCTGTAGAAGCACCCGGCAAAGCGATTAAAGTTTCGGCATAAATTGGAGCAGCCTCAAATGGGGTTGACGTCTCAAACATCACAATTTCGGATGGCTCTAGGGTAATATCTAAATCTGAATTAATATCATTAACTGCCGACGTTTCTATAATCATGCTAACATCTTGAGACAAGCAGAACGTTTGTTCTTCAAATTTCGCAGTTTTGATGTCTTGTAACTCTCTTGGCAACTCTGCGTTCGTACGAGCTAAAAATGCTTCCGATCTTTGAATTTTAGCAACTTCAAGTGACGGGCACGACGCCCGCTCTCCTTCATATTCGTCATCACTTTTTTGATTTTGGAGCAAATGCTCTTCAAACTGGTTTTGGAAATTATTGCGAGATCTTTCTTCACGACTTGGCACGAGTACAACATTGGAAATAATCACAAGTTCTTTAGAAGAGTTTGTCTGATTCGACTCTTCTGTGGGATGACTGTAAAACCCGAGGTGTTTATCGTAGGGACAAGCTATAGCATAATTTTTACACAAATCAGTTATGCAGCTTTGGCGTCGAAGAGCAATTAAGTCTTTATTATTTTTGTCCCACACAATCTGATGCACATTCATCATGCCTTTGAACGGTTTCAACAATAGTTTAGGCATTAGGTATTCTTTTTCGATTATATCATATTCGGATACATATTCGAGAATTACGTTTTTTACGGATTTTTTAATCTCTTCCGAAAATGTTTTAATGTCAGGTATATCTTTCTCACATCTGACTATTCGATCAGCCGTCCTTTTTAAGGTAGCCCCGACGCCATCTGGTGCCCCCCTTTCCGTGGCCAGCTTCTGAGTAATTCCACGTGACAGTTTTTAGTTTTGGTAAGTACCAGTGCAATTTCGTGATGATATAATTTATAGTCTTATTCCGGTATTGACTACACGTGGAGTCGGTCATGAAGTGGAGTGATTCAGTTTCTGGCGCCGTTTTCTCGATATACCTCAGTATAGGAATTATATGTCCCCAGACAGCAGCTGCATCGTGACGCACGCTATCGCTGTATGTGCAAAAGCTTATAGGTGTTGAAGAGCTACTGAGGTATATAACGCTAGTGTGAAGACTTATCTGCATGCGGCTTCCGCCAAAATGCAGAGACTGAATCTCGGTGTTGTATTTGATCGAATAATTTTCACTAAAATCCATATGGATCACAACACTGTTGCTTTCAGGTTCCCTCTTCAATTTCGTTGTGCATTCGTACTGGTTCACAATATTAGCATTGTGAACGTAAAACTTTATTAGAAGCTTTAACAAAAGAAGTAATACTTCTCTTGGTTTTCCTCTAAACTGTTTTTTCTCAGTAATCTTTATTATTCTTAATCCATTCTTTGTTCGTACTTCCTTCAAACCCGAGCCCCACATTTGATATTCAATCTCAATAGAATTTTTTAAACTCCCTGACTGTCAGGCCTTTATTAATGCAAACTCTGCATTTATTTTCCAGACATTTTATATTGTAGATGTTGCATACACTAGAAGACAAGATTTCTTTTGCAGATTTTTCGACGATTATTTCGTTTTTTGTGAAGAGCTTTCGCCAGCAAATCTACATTTTCGTGTATTTTACACATGCAGGTCTCTCTATCCTTTTCTGGAGGAACTATAACCCAAAATGGCTTTGCTTTGCAAAAATATGAGTAACTGACGTTATAATCGTATTTCTTCAAAAACTTTTTGTGCAGGTTCAAAAGACTATCTTTAAGAAACCTCTTCTGCTTCTTTTGTTTGTTTAAAGTGATGCAGTCTTTTTTACCAGACGTCATTCTAGAATTATCATCATCTTCATAAAAACATCGAATGTCACTATCAATTTGCTCTTTTTTCGTGCTTTCTTTTTCTTTTCTATTAGATTTCCTTGTTATTTTAGGCAACTCCTTAAGTAAATTATAATTTTTCAGTTTCTCACGTACTGGTTCTATATTCTCTTTGAGCTTTTGTTTTTCAGCCTTTTTTCTGGTTCTCGTAATCTAGATTGATGTTACTTTTTAAAATATCGCCAAATATTATGGCTTTTTTAACATCTTCTTTTTTGGTAGGGTCGGCCATTATCATTCCGGCTTTTGTTCCTGGGCTGTTACAAGACTTTAGCTTAGTAATAGTTTGTCTCATGCGAAAAACGCGTTTGCGAAACGCTGCATTTTGCTTTTCTAGCTCCGACAAACGTTTTTGATAGTATTTGCATTTTTTGAGCATTCTATAGCGAACTCTACGCGTAGCTGAAGAGGGACTATCCTTAGGAGTGTGACAAATAGGTTGAGCAGAATTTGATGTGCAATTTTTTGTAACTGGTCTCCGATTGTCTGGTGTTTTATTGCCTATGATTAACTCAGATTGATCAGACGGTCCAGGTCTGGGATTAATCCATGGATCATGTGACGCATAATTCTCGGTGACTAATCTTGCAAAAGTAGAAGCTTTTTTTATTGCATCTTGATGTTCTTGTTGTAATTCAAAATTTCGTTCTAGGAAATCTTCAGAATCTGATTCAGGTGGCGTATCTTTTTCTTGTAACATTTTAAGTTCTTTTTTCTTTCTTCTTAAATTCTGTTGGTTTATCTTCCATTTTTTTCTCTGTGCCCTCTGTTCCCTTGGCTTTAATTCTTTAATTGGTACAATTTTTTTAGTATCCTTTCTTTTGATATAGCGAGCTTTTTCTTTTTCTAAGTATTCTTTGTATAGCTCAGGGTTAGACTTTATTTTGTTGCGCCTTTTTTGTTCCGTTAATCGTTTTTTTCTTAACATATCTTCTCTATTTACTGGCTTTTTACGTCGTGGCATGTTTACTTTTTTGTCTAGAACAAGCAAAATTGACGTATATAATTCACAATGCTTATTTATATACCAATTACAATCGGTACTAGCTAAAAACTGTTAATATTTACTTATGTATTATATGTAAGTCATTATCATGTTATCGTTGTCATTACCGTGGCTTAAAACAATCACGGTAATACATGTTAATGACAAACAGGGTAATGACAAAATCAAATATTATTCGCATAACATTGCAGGGTTAATGTTCCGGAATATGTTCTATTGCTTACGTTATAACAAAATGGTTAAATAATTAGGGAAAATAAAACCTATTCTAATATTTTGTGTACTTACCGAGGAAGTAGACCCACAATAAAGACAATTTTTTCTGACAAAAACCACGGTAACACTCTTTTTCTTTACTTTTTTTGAAATCAGTCAGGAGGTGCGACGTGCGTTTTCGTTGACGGCTGCGTGGTGACTGGGAGGAGCGCGGGGCAGTTGCAGAAATTTTATACAGCTGTTGAGTGATGTACTACACGTCGTGACATGAACTGACATGGGAATGACTGTTTTCGCTTGGGACAATATTTACGATGTTGTTTTTCTATCACTTTCAATTTGATTTCATTTGTTAAATCCCAGATATTAGTAATGATTATTAAGCTTTACATAAATAGTGACGTTGGCTTATAAACATACTTTTAATATGACATTTTTGCTGAAATAACGACGAAAATGTTATATGGGACACACATGGTAGTGACGTTTTGAGTCTTTAATGACAAAAAAAATACAAGATTAATTATAAAATACCCAAAATGTATGAGTACTCCTTGTACTGTACATTCAGTACTATATATAATAGTATGGCACGTTATAAATCCAACTTAGTTTTAAGGGGGAAATTCACCCGGACATCCGATTTACACCAAATGAAATAATTACCCACATATGAAAATACACACTGGTGAAAAACCTTTTTCATGTCATATCTGTGAACATAGATTTAGTGAAAAAAGTAAGTTGCTAAGTCATATGAAAATACACACCGGAGACAAAGCATTTTCGTGTAATATATGTGGATATAGATGTATTAGTAAAAGTGATTTGATAAGACATAAAAATACACATCGGAGAAAAACCTTTTTCGTGTAATATCTGTGAATATAGATGTATTAGGAAAGGTAATTTGCTAAGACGTTTGAATGTATACACTGGAGCAAAATATTCTTCGTGAGGTTTCTGGTAAAAAGCGGACTGGTAAGCGCGGTGCGCGGTGTTGAATGCCCAGGCGCAGGGAACTGCATTCCAACGGTATAGTTGTTAAGCGTGTTTCCAATGCACACTAGGTTAATGTAAATAATGATTTATTATTAAATATTATATTTGTATTCTAATATGTAACGGCGGAATTCATGTTATTTAAGAATTGTAAATAGTTAGATATAATTCTGTAAATATATTGTTACGAGCTTGAGGTTCGTGACAATAAAAATTGCCGATAGAATTACCCAAATTAACACTTTAATTTTCTTTACACAAATTAAAACTTAAAACACCAATAATTAATGACACTAATTCACTTTATTCCGCTCCGAAGCTTCGCTTGTCTCGCCAAATTCAATACTTCCCCGATCGCGTATTGCAGCGCCTTTATATAGGGCTCTTCCACGAAAACATCCAGAATATTCGAGTAAATACGCGCTCCAACCGACCAAGCGCAGAAAGATCGAGTGTGCGGCTTCCAGAAAGCTTAATTCTTCTGTCGACTTTGTGCCGTCGACTTTGCGCGTAACAATATAAAATAATTAATATAAATATATATAAGTGTGTAATATGTATATATACGTATAATATACTATAAGTAGGCTACAAGACACGTAAAAATACATAACGGAGAAAAACCTTTTTCGTGTAATATCTGTGAATATAAATCTATTACAAAAAGTCATTTCCGAAGGCATTTGAATATACACACTGCAGCACAATCTTCTTTGTGAAGTATCTGGTAAAATACGTATAATAGCTGTGTAAACCTACTTCGCTGGGTTAATTTTTGTCGAATATTTATTTATGTATTGTATGTATATTTTATTAAATTAGTTATTTTTTTAAATTAAGAACACATGACTTTTCTTGTTAATTCTTAAGTTTTTTTTACATATGTTTGTATTCATTATACAAAAACATTTTACAGATAGCCATGTACTGAATTTCTATGTTACAATACATTCTTATGCACCACGTTTACTGACTTGTGTTCTGGTGCAGACATTAATAAAAAAAATCGGTCAAACGCGCGAAAAATTACATTGATTTGACCACGTAAAAAAGCGGGATTCTCCCAAATTCACTCCACTATATTGGAACGTTTGACCTTGTGCCTTATTGATATACTGTAAGCCAATCGTAGATGAAACTGTAACCTTTTAAAACAGAATGGTAAATCATTTGAAATTAATTGAATTCGTGGTATAAAAACGGATTTTCCTTTTTCTTTGCCAGTTAGAATTACTGCCTCAATAATGTTGTTGAGAAGTTGTTTTATACATAATCTTGTATCGTTTCATAATTTTGGCGAATTAAATTTTCGTAATAATATGACTGGTGATCCAATTAATGATTTCTTAAATTTACGCGAACACTACACATTGAATAAAACTAAATTTACGGATTTTATCGCGTTTATAAACGCGATAAAATCCGTAAATTTAGTTTTATTCAATGGTGATCCAATTTTTAGCTTCAATACATTCAAAGACGTACCAAGCGGATTCGGTAAATTTAAGAACTGTTGGGAAGTTCGCACTTTAGTCTTGATTCATCATTGTGTCTATTGATTTATACAGTTTTTCATCCGTTGTCATATTCTATATCTGTTCATTAATTTGATGCACTTCATCATTTTTGTATTTTGTAGCTAAAATTGTTCGCTCACACAACCATGTCCTATTTAAAATATTCTATTATACTTAATTATAATATTGAAAAGGTTTATCCGTCTATTGAATAATTTTGTTCAATAGATGGGTAAACTCATTCGGTTGTAGCTGTCCGTGTCAGTCGGATTCATAACACTTATCACTCAAATATAAACTTTAACTTCTCGAAAAAAAGATTTTATTCAGTGTACGCAAGACTTGCTGCCGGATCCCGCCTCATTACCAGTGAGTTGTCTTATTCATACACCTGTGCCACTGCATCACGCATCCTACTTACGCATACCGTGTTATCGTGCTCACTTGCGCAGAGTAGTAACGAGCTTAGACTACACGGCCATGTATCGCTCACCAACAAAATGCTACGATAGTGATCCAGATCTACTCGAAATGATAGTAACGCTTCGTAAGCGTAAATACGATGTGGATGTGTCGGATGCTTTTAGGGTAGTAACAGAATCCATATTATCAAAACTGGACACTATAAAAACTGACTTCGATGACAAAATATCGCAAATCACCACCGGGCACAGCATAAACACCGTTGTGAAACAAGATACAATGATACCATTATGTGTATGAAATCAGATATTAACTGTATTCGAAAGGATTACCGCAAGATAAACACAAATGTTCAAGATTTACATAAAAAACAAGCTACTATGG